TTTTAAGAAGCTTGAATGGAGCAGCCTGCAGGGCTCCTAATAGTTTTATATACAATATTTCTCAGAATTTCTATCCAGCGTGGATTTGTGAAGCCTCCAGGGAGATAGGAGAACGGATATGCCACAACTGTGGGCATGAATGTCTGCTGTCACTGGCTTTCCTTAGGGGTGTCCCCAAACTGTGCAATTGTAAAGATGTGATGTCGGGCTCAAACCTGGCCACTTGGCAAAGTGTCCCCTCACCTCCTCTGGGCACCTCCTGTGGTGGTGACTTGACTCCAGGCTGAAAACAACCAGAAGCAAGGACCTAATCAGGGGATACGAGCTGCTGCTGAGGAGGCAGTTGGTTCGCTCTGAACCAGGCCTCTGGAGTTCAGCCACCAGAGCTTACCCTCATTTGCGCGTCAGAATTTACTCATCTCATCATAATTTAGAAACAGAGGAAATTCATAAAACTGGGATTATAAAAAGGAAAAGCAAACAGAATCTTTACTGAATTGTCAATAGATCTGATCAGAAGAAATCAGAAGCCAGTCAGAAATCAGGTTTGAATCGGAAGAAAATAGCCCGCGGTATTGTTGGTGGAGAGGGAAGCTCTGATTTGCCTTTTAGGGCTTTTGGGTCAAGAGGGTCACAGAGCTTCTCAGTCAGGAGAAGGTGCGAGGAGCTGGAGTTCAATTACTCAGAGGGGTTGGGGGGTCTGGGGAGAGCCATGTCCTGTTAGTAGCATGGTTTCAGGTTCCATTAGCAGTCAGTCTACCAGTAGAACTACCACAGAGTCTACCAGCCGACTCAGTGACCTCGCTCCTTAGAAATAAAAAGTTGAGATAAATGTGGAGAGTTGTGTCTGAAACCCCTCTCTCTGAAGGGTACGGGGGGGGGGGGGAAGCTTATCAAAATTGCTCCTCAGTATGAAATGACCCATGTGTCTCTGATGCTTCAGGCAAGAGTGTGATGTTCCATTCTCATTGAAATAATTCCCAACAGCAGTTTCTCATAATCTATGATTTTAGAGACAAGAGCTGTCAGCATGGTGTCCTTAATTAACAAAAGTTTTTGGTTTTTTGTTTTGTTTTTCTTTTTTTACATATTTTCCTTCCTACAGGAGGTAAAGACTTAGGCGTGGGGGAGTGCTACCCATTAGTGGGGTTCGCAGAAAAACAAAATGCCCCCACTTGAGAACAGGGCCATCTGCTGTTAGGCATCTGATTTTGTTTTCAGTCCATTGTTGTTTTTAAAAGGCAGAATCAGGGGTGCCTGGGGCACCTGGGTGGCTCAGTCGGTTAAGCATCTGCCCTCAGGAGATCACGCAGGAAGAAGGGCTAAGATTAACACGACCTCTTACAAATCCCATTAAAGATAATCTAAGTATATTCCTATTTTAAAATTGTTTTGTTTTCTTGTTTGCAAACCTCCTAATCAGAAGAGGGGCAAATCCTTTTAAAGAGAAGAGGCTCAGTTGGTTAAGCGTCAGCCCTTCGGCTCAAGTCATGATCCTGGGGTTCTGGGATCCAGCCCCAAAGCAGGCTCCCTCTCCCTCTGCCCCTCCCTTTACTGGTGCTCTCCCACACATAAATAAATCTTTTTTAAAAAAGAGAGAAGAGGAGCAACAATGATTCGTTATATTATAAATGTAGTGGTAAGGCCCTATCTTCGCTCCAAGCTCTCTATGGAGCACAGGGTCTATGTTGCGTGCTTTCTCAGATGTCTTGTGCTGGTTTGTCTGGTAGGCTCTTCATGCCTTAAGTGCAGAGAATCCAACCTGAAGTGGGCATTGAGGACCACGATAAGATGAAGCCCCGCATATATGGCTTCAGGGCATTCCAGAGTACCACCAGCGGCCTCTCCCATGAAGGACCATCTGAGTAGGAGGGAGACACCTTAATGTTTAAGGCAGGTCTTATAGTGTGAGTCTGAGGTCTTCTTGTGAAAAGATGGAGGAAGGGCACTCTAAAAAATGGAATAGCATGTGCAACAGCATTGAAAGATTATGGTAATGCAGATGAAGCTAAAATAATTCTAGTAGCGTGGCAGCATGAAGGAAGAAAAAAGTAGAGATGGATTGGTAACAGAGCTGATGGGGCTCAGACTGAGGAAGTGGGAATGAAGACAAGAAATTGAATTAAAAAACCAAACAGGAGCATCTGGGTTGAGTGCCTACCTTTGCTTTGGATGGTGATCCTGGGGTCCTGGGATTGAGTCCCGCATCAGGCTCCCACAGAGAGCCTGCTTCTCCCTCTGCCTCTGTCTCTGCCCCGTCTCTCTGTGTCTCTAATGAATAAATTAAAACAAAATCTTTAAAAAATAAAAACCAAAAACAAACCTTTGGAGGTAGCATAAACAGGATTTGACAATGGATTAGTTATTACCAGGAGATCCTAGAGTGAATGTAACTTAGAGTTTAAAGTATTGGGGGAGGGGGGCGGTCGGGGAATGATCCATTACATGAGATGGCAAATACGGTTGGTAAATCAGATTTGGGGGATCCCTGGGTGGCGCAGCGGTTTGGCGCCTGCCTTTGGCCCAGGGCGCGATCCTGGAGACCCGGGATCGAATCCCACATCGGGCTCCTGGTGCATGGAGCCTGCTTCTCCCTCTGCCTGTGTCTCTGCGCCTCTCTCTCTCTCTCTCTGTGACTATCATAAATAAATAAAAATTAAAAAAAATAAATCAGATTTGGGACGTTCAGTAACATGGAACTGAAGGCAAACGCTAGGAGAAACACTATATCCAAGACTTTGTTCTGGGAAATGGAAGTGAAAGGGATGAAACCTAACTTTCATCTGTAGTACAGTATTCATCCTATTTTCAAAACTAACTTGAAGCAATTGTAAATTTTTGGGGTGGGTACACACAGGTACTTAGTTTCTGTAGTTGTAATTTCCTCAAAATTAGTGTTTGAAGTTTTTTTTCTGCAAAGGAAATTAAATAATGTATCAAGAATTTGGAGTACCTACTGTGTGCTAGGTACTGCTCCAGGCATTCGGGATGTTTGCCCCCTCCTACTGGCCTCTTGCTTTTAGAAATTACCAGGCCTGGATTTCAGAAATTGCTTCTAGTTTTGGCTTGGCCACAGGCAAGTCGCTTTTCCTCCCTGAGTCTTTTTCAAGCTACTGTAATCCTACAGTTTAATACTGTAACTGGACCTCAGCATTCCTTGTTCTCACAGAGGTGGGCCCCACCATGCAGGCTTAAACAACATCACTCAGTGAGTGTACACAAATGACTGATCTGCTAGGAACGTTTTCCAAATGGTCCTTTACACCTCTGCCTCCCACCCCACCGCAGCCCAGAATAATAGATTTTCTTCATGGGATTTCAGATTTGTAAGGGAATCTTGGTAACTGTTTTGGTAATAGGTAATGAGTATAAAATTTTATGTCCTTGGGATCCCTGGGTGGCGCAGCGGTTTGGCGCCTGCCTTTGGCCCAGGGCGCGATCCTGGAGACCCGGGATCGAATCCCACGTCGGGGTCCCGGTGCATGGAGCCTGCTTCTCCCTCTGCCTATGTCTCTGCCTCTCTCTCTCTTTGTGTGTGACTATCATAAATAAATAAAAATTTTTTAAAAAAATTTTATGTCCTGATTCCAGTTTAATTGTTGCAGGATTGTTAAGCTCCCTGGTCAAGAAAGAATTCTTGAGACATTTTAGGATGCAACTTATGAAGTTTATTTAAGTAGCATGGGAACAGAACTTGTGGACAGAAAGAGCTGCACTTCTGCTGTGTGAAGCTGTTCCTTATATGCTCAGTGCTCAAGGGGGAGGGAAGAGGGGATGAGCAGGGAGTATTAGATCATGTCTTCTTTGAACTTCTACTAATAAAACGACTTTCACAAGATTTCTTTGGTGGTTATCATTCAGATATTAACTATTGGTGAGAAGTACCAGCAATCATGAGACCCTTTGTGATTGTAGCAATCAGCATGTATTTGATCCTTATCAGAACTATGCAAGCTATAGGGCAACCTTCTGGGCCCAAGGTGAACATTTTTTTGCTTCTATCCCTCATCATAATCAACAGCAGCAACTTCTATACATTCAATACCAGCTGTTTTTCGGCTCTGTGGAGACAAGTTCAAAACAAAACAAAAATTTCTGCCTTCATGCAGTTTACATTCCAGTGGAGGGAGACAGATTAAAACAAAGAGAGATGCGCAGCTCAATGGTTTAGTGCCGCCTTCGGCCCGGGGCGGGATCCTGGAGTCGCAGGATCGAGCCCCACGTCGGGCTCCCTGCATGGAGCCTGCTTCTCCCTCTGCCTGTGTCTCTGCCTCTCTCTCTCTCTCTCTGTGTGTGTCTCTCATGAATAAATAAACAAATATTTTTAAAAAACATTTATTTATTCATGAATAAATAAAATCTTGTAAAAAAGACTTATTCATGAATAGTCAAATAAAATATCTAAAAAAGATTTTATTCATGAATAAATGTTTTTTAAAGATTTACAATATTTTAAATAGATTTTATTTATTCATGAATAAATACTGAATAAATACAATATTTTAAAAAGATTTAAAATATTTAAAATAAAATATTTTTTAAAAAGATTTAATTTATTCATGAATAAACAAAATCTTTTTTAAAGGAGATTTTATTTGTTTATTCATGACAGACAGAGAGAGAGAGAGAGAGAGAGAGAGAGAGAGAGAGAGAGAGGCAGAGACACAGGCAGAGGGAGAAGCAGGCTCCACACAGGGAGCCCGACGCGGGACTCGATCCGAGGTCTCCAGGATCACGCCCTGGGCCGAAGGCGGCGCTAAACCGCTGAGCCACCCGGGCTACCCAAAATAAGTAAAATCTTTAAAAAAAAAATTAAAAAAGAGAGAGGGGACAATGCAATGCATTGAATTAGGGCGTAGACGAGGCCAATACTAGCCCCCGGGCTCCTACAGAACCCAGTCCCGGATCCGCGCGGCCCGGTCACCGCCCGGCCCACAGGCCTCCAGACTCCGCCCACCGCCGCCCTGGCCCCGCCCACGCCCTTACGTCAACTCCCTAGGTCTCCGCGCAATGGCGGCCAATGGAAAGCCGGGGGACCTGCTCGGCCTCCGTTGAGTCCCGCCCGGTGAGCCGTCGCTCGGCGACCGCGATGGGCTGTGGGGGCTGCGTGGCGCGGCGGCTCGGCTCGCTGCTGCGGTGCGGGGCCCTGTCCCCGGGCGCGGGGCCGGCGGCGGGCTCGGGGCCCCGGCTTCGGCTGCTGGCCTTGGGGCGGCTTCCGGCGGCCCCGGCGCTCGGTCGGGCCTGCCTGGGCCTGGGCCGCGCGCGCTGCCTGCACGGCGGGCCGGGCCTGGAGGAGCGGGCGGAGGGCGCCGCGGGTCAGGGGCGCCCGGAGTCCGGCGCAGCAGGTACGGGCCTGGCGGCGGGCGGCGGGCGGCGGGCGGCGGGCGGCTGGCGGCGGCGGCCGCGGCGGGACCTCGGGGCAACCCGGAGCCGGGTCGCTGCCGAGGGGGCTCTGAGGCCCCCTGTTTGCGCCTTTCTCCTGAATTCCCAAAACCACAGCTCCAGAGCCGGAGGGGACCTCCAGGATGTTGGCGCCGACTTTGCGCGTAAGACAGGCCAAGGGATAGCGGACGTCGGCCAAACCCCGGGCGTGACTGGCCCCACCGGACCCTGGGCGCGCAGCCTCACGGTCCCCGGGGCCCCGAGGAGCGGGCTCCAGAGAATGTTAGTTGGGGCGGGAGGATTCTGGGGACGAGCTGGGGCCGGGGGCGAGCGGGGGCCGAGGAAGCGCCAGTGGGAGCTGGGGCCTGGTGAAGGTCCTCTCTCTGGTCATTCCCAGTCTTTAGAAATTTGAGAGGTTGCGAGCAGATCACGTCTGTGGAAGGTTGGGGTGTGAGAGGGAGAGGTCTTAGTGGACTTAGCCGCTGGGTTCTTGGGGATCCGCTTTAGAACCTCTGCCAGGTGAAGAACAGACTGTGCAGATCTCCACAGAAGAAGAAAGTTTTCACAGGTCACAGTTGCTACATAACCCGAGTGGTTTTACAAGAAAACGTTTCATCCAAAATGAAAATCGTATTAAGGGGCAGCCAGGGTGGCTCAGCGGTTTAGCACCGGCTTCAGCCCAGGGCGTGATCCTGGAGTCCTGGGATCGAGTCCCCTGTTGGGCTCCCTGCGTGGAGCCGGCTTCTGTCTCTGCCTCTCTCTCTCTCTCTCTGTGTGTCTCTTAAGAATAAGTAAATAAAATCTTAAAAAAAAAAAAAAAGAAAATCGTATTAAAGTTTCAGCTCTCATTGGTTGGCTTGGAGCCCACGCATTTATTCTGGGAGGCCTAATTTTCTTCGGCTGTCAAGTGAAGGTTGTGGACAAGATATTACCTAAGAACCTTTCCAGCTCACAACTGTAGTTCTGTGTATGTGTGAGGTGTGTTGCTCATTTCCTCAGGTATTCGCAAACAAAGTCGTTTGTTGTGGACGTATGGTCTTACTTGCATGTGGTAAATAGCAAAGGATGTATGGTGGCTGTGTGTGACCTAAAAGTTGAGCGATGCCACGTGAAACCCCTGCCCAGGTTTAGCTTCCCGGAGGCCTGGACCCTGCTGTCTTTCAACACTTTATTTTTTTTTTATTTTTAAAGATTTATTTATTTATGATAGACATAGAGAGAGAGAGAGAGGCAGAGACACAGGAGGAGGGAGAGGCAGGCTCCATGCCGGGAGCCCGATGCGGGACTCAATCCCGGGACTCCAGGATTGCGCCCTGGGCCAAAGGCAGGCGCCAAACCACTGAGCCACCCAGGGATCCCCTCTTTCAACACTTTAGATTAAACACCCTCAAGGAGGACAGTTTCATGGTTAGCTGCTGCATCTCGGTGCATGCAGCGTATTCTATGTGGCTACCTAACGCAAGTGAATCTTTGTGCGTTTCAGATCATCCTGGCCCCAAGTTTGACATCGATATGCTGGTTTCACTGCTGAGGCAAGAAAATGCAAGAGACATTTGTGTGATCAAGGTTCCTCCAGAATTGAAATATTCAGATTACTTTGTGATTGGTAGCGGAACTTCCACCAGACACTTGCATGCCATGGCCTACTACATTGTGAAAATGGTAGGACGCTTTCTTTTCTCTTTGGAATCATTAACGGAAGAGTGTAGGTGCATCATGTTGAGGAGCAACACTTAAAAAGTAAATCCATCATATGAGATGATGTAAGAAGCCCAAATTCTCAGTTTTTGCATGTTTTATGTTCGTTGATAGTGAAAGTTACAGGGACAGATGAGTCAGGATTTTTTTTTTTAATTTTATTTATTTATTGATGAGAGACACAGAGAGAGAGGCAGAGACACAGGCAGAGGGAGAAGCAGGCTCCATGCAGGGAGCCCAACATGGGACTCGATCCCGGGTCTCCAGGATCACACCCTGGGCTGAAGCCGGTGCTAAACTGCTGAGCCACCCGGGCTGCCCAAGTCAGGATATTTCTAATTCTTGTCTCTTGTGGTCATTAAATGAATGAATGAATAAAAAATAAAACTAAAAATACAAAAATAAATAATTTGAGGCAGGCTAGAAGACGGTATAACCCAGAGGAATTTCTAGAGCAACACTGTTTATTGTGGTAGCCACTAGCCCCATGTGACTAATTATAAATTAAAAATTCAGTTCTTGGGGATCCCTGGGTGGCGCAGCGGTTTGGCGCCTGCCTTTGGCCCAGGGCGCGATCCTGGAGACCCGGGATCGAAACCCACATCAGGCTCCCGGTACATGGAGCCTGCTTCTCCCTCTGCCTATGTCTCTGCCTCTCTCTCTCTCTCTCTCTCTCTCTCTCTCTGTGACTATCATAAATAAATAAAAAATTAAAGAAAAAAAAATTCAGTTCTTCAGTTGTACTAGCCATATTTCAGGTACTCAGTGGCCACATGTGGTTAATGGCTGCAGCACATAGTTGTACAGCACAACTAGAAAACGTTTCCATATTTGCAAGCAGTTCTGTCAAACCCTGTTGGCCTGTATTTAATTCAAATGTTTGAATGTGTCCAGTGTTTCCAGGCGCTGTGCTGGGTATTGGAAAGATGAAAAAGATCTAGTCCTCATCCTCTGAATTCACAGGTCTAGTTGAGGAAAGGGAAGGCAGTTCATTTTCTAATCAGCCTGAATAGGAATCAGAGTGAGGAATATACTTGGAGGCATTTTAACTGATTTTTTTTTTTTTTAATTTTTTATTTATTTATGATAGTCATACAGAGAGGGAGAGAGAGGCAGAGACACAGGCAGAGGGAGAAGCAGGCTCCATGCACCGGGAGCCCGACGTGGGATTCGATCCTGGGTCTCCAGGATCGCGCCCTGAGCCAAAGGCAGGCGCCAAACCGCTGCGCCACCCATGGATCCCATTTTAACTGATTTTGATAACACTCTGCAGGGGTGCATAACCTCTCTTAGCTTGTTGAAAATTGGTCATAGGAGGGACAGTTAAGACCAAAGGAAAATTAGGTTTCTATAGAGAAGGGTGGTAAGAATAAGAAGGGGACTGAAAACAGAACCTTGGTGCAAAATGGCAAAGCAAAGGAGGATTCCAAAAAAGGAATAGTTGGAGAGACACAAAGAAAACCAAGAGAGTGTAGAGAAGAGTTGTAAGGCAGGGCCCCAGGATCTTTGTTAGATGTTCTAGTGGGACAGAGTAAGATGAAGACTTAGAAATGATCATTGCACTTGGAGTTTTAAAGGGAATGAGAGGTTTTATATTTTAACCATTTTTTTAAAGTGTGCAGTTAAGTGGCATTAGTTACATTCACATCATTGTGCATTTGCCACCATCTATCTCCAAAACGTTTTTCATCTTGCAAAACTGAAACTCTGTACACATTAAACAGTAATTTTAACCCTGGCAACCACCATTCTGCTTTCTGTGTCCATGAATTCAACTATGAATTCCACTCATGTGAGTGTAATCATACCATATTTGTCCATTCATAACTGGCTTATTTCACTTAGCATAATGTTTTCAAGGTTCATCCATGTTGTTGTGGCTTGTGTCAGAATTTCATGTTTTTAAGGCTGTTTTATTGTGTGTATATATGACATTTTGTCTATTTGTCCATTGATTTTCATTTGGGTTGCTTCTTTTGGAGATTGTGAATATTGCTGCTATAAACATGAGTGTAGAAATGTCTGTTCACGTCCCTGCTTTTAATTTAAGGAGTGGAATTGCTGGATCATGGTAATTCCGCTTTTAAGTCTTTGAAGAACCACCCTACTCTTTTCCTTAGTGGCCACACCACTTTACATTACCACCAGGAGTTCACAAGGGTTCCAGTTTCTCTGTAGCTTTGCGAACACTTATTTTTTTTTTTTTTCTTAAATTCATGAGAGACAGAGAGAGAGGCAGAGACACAGGCAGAGACACAGGCAGACAGAGGCAGTGGGGCAGAGGGAGAAGCAGGCTCCTTGTGGAGCAGGGAGCCCAAGGCAGGGCTCCATCCCAGGACCCTGGGATCATGATCTAAGCCAAAGGCAGGTACGTAACCAATGAGCCACCCAGGAGACCCCCCACCCCCTTTTTTTTTAAGATTTTATTTATTCATGAGAGACACACAAAGGCAGAGACATAGGTAGAGGGAGAAGCAGGCTCCATGCCAGGAACCTGATGTGGGACTCAAGCCTGGGGCTCCGAGATCATGCCCTGAGCCACAGGCAAACACTCAACTGCTGAGCCTCCCCTCCCTTTTAAAAAATATTTTTATTTATTTGAGAGAGAGAGAGAGAGCATGCATGCATGCATGCATGCATGCAAACATGCATGGGTTGGGGGATAGGCGAAGGGACAGCATCTCGAGTAGACTGTGCTGAGCATGTAGCCCATCAAGGGGCTCAGTCTCATGACCCTGAGATCATGATCTGGGCTGAAACCAAGAGAGTTGGATGCTTAACCAGCTGAGAAACTCAGGTGCCCCGCTTGCTCACTGTTTTGATTACTATAGCTTTGTAGTTAGTTTTGAAATCAGTAAGTTGAGAGCTCCATCTGTGTTTTTCCATTTCAAGATTGTTTTTGGCTATTTGGGGTCCTTTTAGATTACATATAAATTTTAGGATGGAATTTTCTACTTCTGCAAAAAAAAAAGTCACTGGTATTTTGATAGGAATTGCTTTGAATCAATAGATGCCTTTGGGTGGGTAGTACTGGTATCTCAAGGCTATTAAGTTTTCTAGTCCATGAATACACAGTGCTATTTGTTGGTGTCTTTAATTTCTTTAGCAACATCTTGTAACTTTCAGTGTAAAGTCTTTTGTCTCCATGCTTAAGTTTATTGCTAAATATTTTATTCTTTTTGATTCCATTGTAAATGGAATTAATTTCCTCTTCAGGTTGTTGATTAGGTAGTATATAGAAACAAAGCTGATTTGGCATGTTAATTTTGTATTCTAGAACTTTGCTGAATTCATTTATTTTAAACGTTTTGTGGAATCTTTAGGGTTTTATACATGTAAGTCACGTTGTCTGTAAACTTTGATAATTTTATTTTTTCCTTTCCAATTTGGTTACCTTTTTTTTTTTTTTTTATGATAGTCACAGAGAGAGAGAGAGGGAGAGGCAGAGACACAGGCAGAGGGAGAAGCAGGCTCCATGCACTGGAAGCCCGATGTGGGATTCGATCCCGGGTCTCCAGGATCGCGCCCTGGGCCAAAGGCAGGAGCCAAACCACTGCGCCACCCAGGGATCCCCGGTTACCTTTTTTTTTTCCCCTCCCTTGCACTAACTTCTCTGGCTAGAACTTCCAGTACTGTATTGAAAGAAATGGCAAAAGTGGGCATTCATGTCTTGTTCCTGATCTCAGAGGAAAAATTTTGTCTTTCACTATTGAGTAGTAGGATAATAGCTGTGGGCTTTTCATGTATGACCTTTATTATCTTGAGGCAGTTTTTTATTCTTTGTTGAGTAAATTTTTTTAAAGATAGAGGCAGAGACACAGGCAGAGGGAGAAGCAGGCTCCATACAGGGAGCCCAATATGGGATTCGATCCCAGGACTCCAGGACCACACCCTGAGCCAAAGGCAGATGCTTAACCGCTGAGCCACCCAGACATCCCTATGTTAAGTATTTTTATCATGAAAGAGTGTTGAATTTTGTCAGATGCTTTTCTGCATAAATTTTTTTTATCCTGTGGCTTTTTTCATTTTGTTAATGTGGTTTATTGTATTGATTGATTTTCATGTGGAACAATCCTTACATTGCAGGAATAAACCCCACTCAGTCATGATGTATAATCCTTTTAATATGCTGTTGAATTGGGCTTGGTAGTAGTTTATTGAGGATTTTTGCATCGGTGTTCATCAAGGATATTGGTCTGTAGTCTGTCTTTCATTCATTCATTCTTTCTTTTTTTTGGTAGGGTCTTTGGCCTTGGTATCAGGGTAATGGTAGTTTCATAGGATGAGTTCCGAAATGTTCCCTCTTCGATTTTTTGGAAGAGTTTGAGAAGAATTTGTGTTAGCTTTTGTTTAAATGTTTGGTAGAATTCACCAGTAAAACCATCTGGTCAGGGCTTTTTTTTGCTGCAAGATTTTGTTCCTCTTGGTTTCGTCCTTTTAATTGAGGTATAGTGTTTGGAGTTCTTAATTACTCTTTCAGTCCCAATTTAATCTTGGTAAGTTGTGTGTTTGTAGGAATTTGTCCATTTTGTCTAAATTATCCAGTTTGCTGGTGCATAGTTAGTTGTTCATAGTACTCAATTCCTTTTTTAAGAAGTCGAGTTCCCTTGCTTGTTTTGGATTTTAGTTATTTGGGTTTTCTGTTTTTTCTTAGTCTTCCTAAAGCTTTGTCAATTTTATCTTTTCCAAGGCCCGAATCTTGGTTCCATGGATTTTTGTCAATTTTGGTTTCCTCTGATCATTGTTTCCTTCTTTCTACTAGCTTTCAGTTTAATTTCATAGTTCCTTAAGGTATAAATTTAGTTTGTTGATTTGGGAGCTTTCTTTTTTTCATGGAAGCATATATAGCTATAAATTTCCCTCTTAAGGGGTACCTGGGTGGATTGTCAGTTAAGCAACTGACTTTGGCTTGGGTCATGATTCAGGGTCCTGGAGTTGAACCCCGTATTGGGCTCCCTGCTTGGTGGGTAGCCTGCTTCTCCCTCTCCCTCTGGAGCTCCCCCTGCTTGTGCACTCATGCTGTCTCTGTCAAATGAGTAAATCTTTTAAAACAAAACAGAAATTAAAAAAAAATTTCCCTCCTAACAGTACTTTGACTACATCCCAGTAAGTTTTGGTATGTTGTATTTTAATCTCCTTTGTCTCAAGATATTTTCTAATCTTGTGAGATCTTCTTTGACTCATGGTTTGTTTGGCTTTTCTGGTTTTCCTTCTATTGATTTCTAGTTTCATTTCATTGTGATTAGAAAATATACTTTATATCGATCTTTTAAACTTTAGAGTTGTTCTGTAGCCTAACATATCTATCCTGGAGAATGTTACATGTGCACTTTAGAAAAATGTGTATTCTGCTGTTGGGTGGAATATTTTATTAATGTCTGTTAGTCTGTAGTATTGTTTAAGTCATCTATTTCTATATTAACCTTGCCTGCTTTTATCCATTATTGAAAATGGAGTATTAAGTCTTCCATATTATTATCATCAGTGTCTCCCTTCAGTTCTGTCAATGTTTGTTTCCATATGTTTAGGAGTTCTGATTTTTGGTGTTACATGTTTTTTTTTTTTTTTAATTTTTTATTTATTTATGACAGTCACACACAGAGAGGCAGAGACACAGGCAGAGGGAGAAGCAGGCTCCATGCACTGGGAGCCCGACGTGGGACTCAATCCCGGGTCTCCAGGATCGTGCCCTGGGCCAAAGGCAGGCGCTAAACTGCTGCGCCACCCAGTGGCGTTACATGTTTATAATTGTTATATCATCTGGGTTATTTGATCCTTTTATCATTGTATTGGTTTTCTTTTCTCATATTTTTTGATCTAAAGTCTATTTTGTCTGAACTAGTATATCTTTTGTTTTGGATCATTCATAAGACCTGTTGGGAATGAAGATATGGGATGATAAAATCCCATGACATGGTCATGAAGGTGGTTGATGTAGGTGAGGACCAGATATTGAGTGAGCTTGGCTTCTCTGCCTCAGAGACACTTTGGATATGAGTAGGATGGCCTTTCAAAAGGGTTTGGAGAGGATTCAGTAGGAATGTATAGGAGTAGGTAGGATTTAGGGGTGGGGGAAAAGTTGAGGAAACTAATTTATCATGGGGTATAGTTAAGAGGAATGAGTAGGCTAGTTCCCAAATTAAGATCAAGAAAGATATCTCCCCCCCCCACCCCCGCCCAGACTATCTCAGTGAGAACAGAGACTTCCTCATTCCCCGCCTTAATATATAACGTGGTGTTTTTCAGTACAAATATCTGAAAAGTAAAAGCGAGCCTCATGTTAAGATTGAAGGGAAAGACACTGATGATTGGCTCTGCATGGACTTCGGTAAGTTATTTTGACATATTTTACAGATAAATATTTGTTTTTCATGTAAATTTTTTGGTATTTGTTTACAGTAAATTTTAATTATAACCCAGGAGGTCTTATTCACCTGTGAAATCCTTACCTAATGTGGTATGTATAGAACAAGCCAGGCAGGTCAGAAAGATGGTGGAGAACAGGGTGGATAACATGGTAGAGATGAGAAGCATCCCTCAGTGGTGGTAGAAGGCTTGGGGTGCACATAAATCTGGCCTAGAATGACAGATGAGGTGAAGGTAAAGGGCATTACAGGTCCTGAGAAGGAAGAGTAGAGGAGTGGAATTTTGAAAAGACCTAACAAATTTGGGTATTAATATATACATAGTTTTACAGTATTTCCCCATAAGATACTTATTACAAAAAGAAAAACAGTAATTGTCAAGAACTATGACGGATCTGAGATTTTATCTGCTCATAACTAACAAGTTAACCACCCAGTTTCATGGGTATTGGTGAGAGATGAAAGGCTAGTCCTGGGTTAGAACAGTTTTATTACTGATTGCAGTAAGAGTAGCTGGCCAGCAGGAGTATTTTTGTTTTCCACCAGGTTCCCTGAGCTGTTTCTAAAGAGAAACACAGGGCCAGATGACATCTGCAGACAAAGTTCTAAGAGAGGGACCTTCATGAGATTAGGGTAGTACATCTTTTATATGCCGGAAGCAGACCCATGGTTACTGTGGTGGAGGACACTTTTTCTGCTAAGGCTCTATCTAAGCCAGGGTTTCTTCCCTTTGTCACTCAGTATTTTGGACCAGGTGATTTGGGTGGGAGGGGGGATATATATCCTGTGCATTGTAGGATGTTTAACAGTCTCCCTTCTCCTCTCTAGCCCCATTTGTGAAAATCAAAAATGTCCTGAGAACCAATGCTATAAGTAAACCTGTCCTTTGCTGTGAGGGGAGACAGCCTCTGAGACCATTCACTACATAATCATCCTTGAAAAGAAAAGATAGTCTAGAATCAAAAGGCAATCCATGCTTTGCTCATAGGATATGCAGAAATGTGAGACTCCTAAAAGAAAAAAAAGAAATGTGATACCCATGGAGAATTGTCTTTGACAAGTAATTTGGCAGAGCCTACTTTAGTCACTTGGATAGTTAACATCACCAGGAATGTTAAAGATTGCTATCATGTACTTCCTGTATGATGCACCGAGAAAAGCACAGCATCATTTCTATGGTATTGTTGTAGGAAAGATATCCATATTTTCCATTTCTAGTAAATTCTTGCATAATCCTAATCTGGGGTCCATACTTTAACAACCATTGTTCTATCGCAGAGGTTTATGAGAACACAAGAATAAAAGCTAATGAACTGTTTCTTCATTTTAACTCTTATCTGTCCTTGATTGATAGGCAGCATGGTGATTCATTTGATGCTTCCAGAAACCAGAGAAACCTATGAATTAGAGAAATTATGGACCCTACGTTCATATGATGACCAGTTAGCACAGATAGCACCCGAGACATTACCTGAAGACTTCATTCTTGGAATAGAAGAGGACACTTCTTCATCCCTGACTCCAGTGGGGTTCAAATGAGAATAAAATGATATGAACTACTTTAGTCATTACCCGATTTGGATTGAGTCACTTTTTAAAAATATAGCTCTGATTGAGCTATATCAATCACCTGATTGGTCAGGTTGTTGTCAAAACAAGCCTTATCTATTGGCACTTGGGCTAAATGAAATGTGGAAATTGTAGGTAAGTGAGCTCTCACAGCAAGAATCGGCACATTCAAACTGAAATTTTAATATATTGTTTTTATTCCTAAGATCCTAGCAGGATTCCCCAGAGTTAAACTGAGCAGAGCACAGGGGCCAGTGTTAATTTTGCCTAAGTGTAAATCTTATTCTGTAGAATGGGATAGCCTTAAAAAATAAATAAAAGACACCTACCACTCCATTGGTCTTATTCCTTAAAACCTACAGTTTTTACTTCAGAGGCACAGTATTAGCAAAATCCACAGTAAGTACTGTGGAATGGAGAAAATAATGAAAGCACCAGTATCTAGTGGTAAACTGAGACTGACGCAATATTACTAAAAATATTTTTTACAGTTTAAATTTGAACATTCACATTTGAAAAACCATAAATAAAACATACCATATACCAGGCTGCACCTAATGATGAAAAACTTTATTCTGCATCAAGGTATCTGGAAAAAGAAGCTGCATTTGGGGCACATTACAGATGTGGAATGATCCATGTGCGGTGAGTACAAAACTCAATTACAGAATTAGATACTCCATTACCATCGCTTAATTAAAAGTAAAACATGATTTGCCACACTAAAAGGCTAGAAGTGAAATATGACAGAATTTTAAACCAGCAAATATAAATGCAGCACCTATCTGTATGTGTGTACATACATATATATATATGTTCTATATATATATATATATATATATAAACAACAAAAAACATGAGAAAAATCAAACACTGAGGAAGAGCTCTGGCCTAATAAGCACATCTCACCTGAAATCCAACCAGAAAGCCAGTCTGATTTTATTTTTGCAATTCATTATATGAAAAAATTATGAATGCTAAATGAATTGTGTGACAAAGGGCACTTTTTGGCTAACACTACAAAATAAACTGGTTTTCTGAAAACATTTAGGAAAACATTTCAAGTCATTTTCAAAATGTCTAATTGATAACAGTTATCTTCAGAAAAACTTAGTCTGTAGAAATTCACCTTGAAATACAAAGGAGGCCATATTTTTTAAAGGGTTATTATATATGTATGCCCTTCAGATCAGCATAATGCGATGACTGATCATTAAATGAACAAAAGCAACACATAATTCTGAGAGCAGTGTGGCCTTGGAGACCACCCACACCCACATAATTGTACATACTGGGCTTTGCCATCAAGTTAAGGAATGGGCATATGAATTCAGTATTGTAGATCAAAGGTCAAATGTGTTATATCACAGTCATTCAAATTATATTCCAAAAATTGGTTCCTGGTATTCTCTACTTTTTGACTTATTTTCAAATAACTAGTTGCAGAGAATATAGAAATCCTGCTGTATTTTATATAATATTTTAGGTGGCCTTACAGTTTTCTTGATTTATCATTGTTTAAAAATCTTCAAAATAGCTTAGTGAGGCTCATGACAGTGCCTGGCACATGGAGATGTAGCCTTGATACTGCCTTTAAACACTGTCACACCGTCTAAGTACCCCCTTAGTCTTCACAAAGCAATTCTGTTGGGGTCCGCTCAAAGTGTAGACCAACTGGTCTGAAGTGTGTTGGCAAACTAAGCATCCCATTAAGACCAGCTGAAGCTTGCTTTTTACCAATCAGTTTAAAGTCCACAGGGGCTGCATCTATATCATCGATGCACTTTAGGTAGTGATAGTCTAAAGCACAAAGCATTTTTATGCATTTAATCACATAGCCAAACAAAAAAACTGAAGTCTCCCGAAGCCTTTTAAACTAGCCGTTCCAAAACCTCCTGCAACCACTTTGCTCTGTTAGTACCATCGAAAAGATTCCCTACCATAAACGAAAAATGAAATGGTATTGCTGCTCTCCAAATATAGGCACTGCTCCGTATCACTGAACATTTATTGGATTTTCCAACTAATGGTGTCAAAAGCCTCAAAAAACCTGAAATTAATTTTCCAGCTTTACGGTCACCAGCCAGAAGTAAAAATTTTCTGTTATTTTCCTGTCAGCTAATTAAGTTTTTTAAAAAACTGTTGGACTTTTATCTTTATAAAGTATATAAAATTTTCCAAAAAACAAAAAACAAAAAAAACAAAAACAGAAACAATTTTGCTTTCATTGCATTACTGAATACCTGAGGTAGTTGAGTAAAAATGCACATTTAATACCCCTGCCAACACCATTCAGCACTTCCCTTAGGTTATTCATGTTAGTGTTAGATAAAGATAAAACTGAGAACAGTTGTTCTATGCTAATAGCTTACCATTTAAGTTCTTGTAATCATTCTATTCTGATCCAATTTTAACAACTGGATTTGGGAGCAATCTATATTTTATGAATTTAGTGAATGCATCATTAAGCCAATTTCTGGCAATAGGGGGGTATATTTAGAAAAATTAGAATATTTGTTACACTGAGAATACAACAAAAGGGAAGTGCAGAGCTCCTCTCTTTCCCTCCCTCCCCCCACCTTATTTTTTTATTTTTTTAAAGCTGGGTGTCATACATTTCAGAGAGCATAAAGTATACATTCTCACAGAGACAGGAGTTCAAAAGTTGCCTGGTCCTCAGAAACAACTGGCTAGGTAAAAACTTGTGCATGTAATTCTGGATATTAGGGGTTCAGCGCCCATCTGTTGGTTAAGCAATCTGTCTTTGGTTTGGCGTCTGCCTCTGTGGTGGGCTGTTTCCTGAGCCTTTACTTCCGTCTTGACTGAGGTGGTCCACTTTGCAGAGCTTTCTGCTGTTGGTGCTGCTTTACCTGAGTCAAAATTTCCTGAATTTTTCTCTGGGCAACCTGCAAAAGGAGAGAGAAAAGATCTGAAATTTCTACCTAATCAAAAGAGACATACTAGTTTAGTTGCTAGTAGAGTTTGAAATTACCTGCTAAAAGGGATTAAGTGTGTTAAGCACCAACCAACCTTGAATATTTATTTGGGGTGGGGGCACGCCCCAGGAGAACTGCTCCCATGCATGAAAGAAGCAAAAGAGCTTATCACATTAGAGCCCACTTGCCTGGCAAGCATAGAAGTGACCAGTTATTTTCACAACCACTTGGTCATTCTCATCAGGTGTCTGGTCACGAGGGACAACTACTTCTGCACTTGACAAATTCTGGAGCTCATTCACCTGAAAAAGATAAATACAGATCATGTCAAATTGAGGTTTTAAAAAAATTACCATTTGCTGAACACTTAACTACGTGCCAAACACTAAACTGTGGCTTTTACAAATTTCATCTCATCCACCAATAATTCTATCAGGTTATCGGTATTGTGCCCATTGCAAGATGATTAAGACTTAACCAAAGAAATTGACCTGACCAGTTATACAGGTGAATGGCAGAACCAGGCTGCATCCCTGAAAGTCAGATCCCAAAGCGTGTGCTCTCAATTACTTCAAAATTGTAAACAGCTTTGAAAACAACTTAAAGTTACATGTGCTAAAGAGAACCTGGAAACCATTTACTTTTTTGTTACAGAGGTAGATTATAAAGGTAGATGAAATTTTTAAAAGTTTTCTTTTGATCAAATGTGCAAAAATAAAAAGCTGGATTTATGTCAACTGACAATGCTAAGTGCCCCTTATACACGAGCCAGTAGTCCTCTCCCACAAAGCGGTCAGAGAGGCGTTACTTTCACTAGGAGCTGACACCGACACTCAGGAAGAACGAAAGGCAGTCTTCTCCAAACCTGGGCCAAGGTGATCCTGCTTTTTATAAATTAGCCAAAATTCAGGGACTTGGAACTCCTAAGTACCTTTCAATGCTTTCCCTTTCATACCACTGCACAGGTTTTGCTGAAGTACTTGCCGTTTTGCCTCCTTTTCCAATAACTCTGCCAGCAGCAAAGGATGGCACTCTGATATGAGCTTCAAGTTTCACCTCTTCTTTAGGACTAACAAAGTTTTCTTCTTTAATTTTTCCATAAATTCTTCCCTGAGCCTAAAGATGAGAACATATCCTATCAGTGTCATTAACAAAGGGAAAAAAGGTCCATTAACTTCAAAGATGGCCAGAATATACTGGAATGGGGACACATCTGCATTTGATTGTTACAGATGGCATATGAGGCAAATTAGGTTCACAAGAACAAGCGGGCACCACAGAGGTGCTAACTAAATGACTGAAGAATATGGCTTGTTCTTTGAACAAAAAGAATTAAAGGTAATAATTAGCCACTCAAACTAAAAACAAATCATTTTTGTGGACAAATGATCATTTGCCCTCTGATCCGAAAAGGTAAAAACCTGTCATGCTTTCAGTAAGAAAGTAACTGTGTTTTTCTTGAATAGAAGAAATGGTGAAGAACTACAGAGCCAGCTGTGGTAGGCTCATAACTGCTGAAAGGATACTTTCTATGAATTTGGGTGTCCTCCTTGCACAGGGGCCATGCTAATCTTCTCTGTATCATTCCCATTTTAGTGTATGTGCTGCCAAAGCGAGCACTGAAAGGATACTTTCTATTTAAACACATTTCTTCATCTCAGCCAAATGGCCTCTACTATAAATTATAAGGCTACAAAATCAGGTTAACAAACACTTCTCATATTTATAGTCCTCACATCCCTATACCTACTGCATATAACTAGACATACCTAAGAAACTTCTATCATGTACTATTAATTTGCTTGCCTGTATACCAAAGGATAAACAAGTCAGAGTTGGTTTAATCTGACAAGCTACCAGGGCAAATCATAAAAACAGAAGTACCCAACACATTTTCAGTGGTGCAGAAATGAGAACTTCATTATAGGGGATTACAGAAAAACAAAATCCATCTTGGTACCCTATATTCCATTCATTCTCAAAGTCTCAGCCACAGATCTAGGCATCAACACAAAGGACAGAGAAAAAAAAAAAACAGGACAAAGATACACATCCCTCTTTCAAAACAAAAGCTCTCAAAATCAGAAAAATATGGGTTAGAAGATTTATCACCCCTTAGATCTCTAAAATAATTCACTTGTAATTATCAGTGACCACATAAATGATATTTAAGCATTATAGGTTTCCTTAAATATTCCATTTAAGATGACTAAGGGTATTGAAGGATACAGGGCAACAAACTGAATTTCCCAGCAAACAATTATAGGAATGACAAGTTGGTAGTTCTGTTTATTAAAAATGTAAGAGCTCAGCACCAAGAAGAAACATGCAATAATGGACGCCTATGTTTATCTTTTAAGATTTCAAACTGAAAGTGAATGATCCTGTAGGTTTGGGATAGGAAGCAGTTTGCAACACTTCCGAGTTAGGACTTCAGCTGCCTGGACCAGAAGGCTGGTGTGAAGGGCTAATTTCTTCTCCTGAGTTTGAGCCTAGCCAACTGCACCCACATCTCAAAGCACCTCCTTTTGTTTCCTATTCTTCCTGTAAATGAAAAAGTTTCGGATTTTTACTGAAAAATGTCCCACAGAAAAGAGAGATGTAAGAAAGCGATAGTTTAAAAGGGGGAAATTGGGGGAGAAGGAGGCATTGTTACTAGCCACATTTAGAGGTTTAAGGTTCAAGAGTTGTCCTGTTACACAGGGACCAGGTGTTAAGAATAAGACACTTGGGGATAGTGTTATTATTCTAATTCAATAGTTTTATAGCCACTTGTACTAAGTTTTAGGGAGAAATTCCATACCTGAAAGAGTGTGTTTGACAATTTGGCAGAATCTTAGTCCGATTCACCCTGAGTCTGCTGACCACCACCAGCTTATTTATATTGGGCCTCCTACGTGGGAAGCAATATTCTAAGCACTTTATGTATTCTTTATACCTAATAACCTTGTTTCAACCTCATGGGTTTTCAAATCCTCATTTTACAGCTGAGTAACTAGCCAGAGAAAAGTTAAGTAATTTGCCCAAAGTCACACAGCAGATAAATGATACAGCTGGCATTTGAACTGGCAGCCTGGATGCCCGGTCCCTGCTCTTTGTCGACTCTCAGTGTACAATGAGGGGCACTCCAGCTTGCAAAGGTCTCAAACCCCAAAATATAAGAACAATAGTTCACACCAAGACAAATGCCAGAAGAATTAAGGACAAGAGGGAATATTTGGGAACAAGTTTAACACAGCATAATAATCAGACAAGTTTGTAAATTTCAGTCTTAAAGGTCTCATCTTCACATAGTAACAAGGCACTGAACAAATTCTCCTTTGGGAGATAAGTAAACACAGCAACCATCACAAAACACTCAAAATTGAAACGAAGTCTGGTTTATTTTTAAAATATAACTTTGGGTATGTTTCTATGTTAGTCTTGTGAATTTCCATTGGGAGATTGTTTTTACAGGTTTTAGATATATTTAAGGGAGAAAGGTTTAGAGTTTCTGAAAAGAAGGCATTAACATTCTATGAATCCATTCATTTGTTACCTGTGCATGCACTCTAGAGCACATACCTTGAATTGAGCCTCTGGCGGCCCGGTGATAATCACCATCCTCACTTTAGCATCTGGTGCTTCAGCTGGAGCAATCTGTAAAAGACATATCAAGGGAGGATGCACTTGCAGGTGCCACTGATAAAAATGTTACACACACCAGCCTCACATTTATGCATGACTTACTAAAATGTATTAGAGAAGAGAAAGCCTTCTGGGAGAAAGCTACAGATTGGCAGTGATTAACACGGGTTCATTAGTTTTGGCTCCTGCCACGAACTGTGCACTCACACTGTGGCTGACCCAGATGTAAACATCCGCATGCCGTCTCAGCTTCTCCTCGCTAGGCTCTAAGAGGTGCTGCCTGGACTTTACGGTGGGAGAACAGAAGCTGAGTTACCTGGCCCATCCACGATCACAGCTAATCCAGCTGGAGGGAGACCCGAGTCTGTCTCCACTGCCCATGCTCTTTATCACCCCACCAGTAGTGCTCAAAGTGTGATCTCTGGCCCATCTGCATCAGAACCCCCAAGCTTTCTGTATGTGCAAGAAATTGCTATGTTCACAAATCTAAGACTATTGGAGTATGCTCATTAGAGTAACATTAGGAAATAAACATTAATTTAGCAGAAGAAAAGTTACTGGCTTTTCTATTTTTGCAGAATGCATGAAATCACACAAAAAGCTGGGGGAAATGTTGCAGACTGCTGAAGGGAAAGGAAACCATTCTTCCAGTCGTAAGATTTGGGGCCCCAGCTGGTATGAGTTGTTTAAAAAGGAAAAAAATTAACTAGACATATGCTGTGCAAGAAGCAAATTCTATTTACAAAATATATTACTATGTAAGAATGAGCAGAAAATATGATAAACACTATCCCAAATTCTGCCATTGAATATGATCACTGTCAGTTACCAATATGGTCTACTAGACCCCTTCCCACGTGTTTATAATCAAAGAATGTTTTCGTTTTTAATGGAGTCATCTTTTTCTCCCTCTGTCACCTAGAGCCATGCTAATACTATTCCTACTTTATGCTGGGCACGTGCTAATTCCGAGTCTAGAAGACAAGCAAATAATTACTTCCCTTTAGTCTAAGCTCTTAGAATTATTCACTGGAAACCCCTAGAACAAAGATACCATTCTTTATCTTTCTGACTAGACTTCTTTTGTCAATACTGGTGAGGGAGGGCTGAGGCTAAGGGCACTTATACACTGAGCTGAAGAGCATAAATTGCTATACCTCTGAAAAGCCTGAAAATACATGCCCTTTGATTCATCAAATCTACTTTTATACACTTACCTTAAAGAATAAGATTGTAGGTGACAATGTGGCTAAGAGAACTCTGTTCGTCACTGCATTGTTTGTGCAGGATAAGTTAGGAACAGTCTAAATGTCCAATAAGTGAACACAGATAATCAGCAATAACCAAATATATGCCTATTTAGTACATGAACTTTATGTCTATGTAAATTTAGCAAAAATGTTAAGAGTGGTGGTGTATCTTTCAGATTAGGCTGTTACATGCTTTCTTGGAAACAAACATTTTACTCTCATTATAAATCCTTCAAGAAGCCTGAAAAGGAGAGAACTGAATACTGAATACTTAGTTCTCGTTCATGAAAGTGCATTGCAGTTTTTCCAGAGCCAATCTACTAGGTTCTTTTTGCATGTGTTAAAGATTTAAGTCTTTGATCAGGAAACCAGCAGGATAGTAAAGCTAGTTCGCCCCTCAATCTTTTAACATCTCTTTTCCATTACCTGTTTGTCTTGGCTGCATTTCCTGTTCATGTATTTTGTTATCTTTTGCTACAATAGAGCATATAAGGACTAGTTCTGTGTTTTGTTTTTTTATTAACTGTTTAATTTACATACAGTAAAATTCATTCTTTTGGTAACAAATGCATAGGCAGGTAGTAACCACTACCACAGTCAACATAAAAATAGTTCATTACGCTCCACAATTCTTCCCTATCTCTCTTTGTATTCAAGCCTCTCCTTCTACCTCCAATTTCCAGCAACCACTGAATTTTTTCTCTATAGAGAAAAATTCCAGAGTTTTTCTACAAATGGATCATAGAGTAGCAGCCTCTTGGTCTGATTTCTTTCCCTTAGCATGTAACATGAGATTCAACCAATTTGTATCAATAGTTTGTTCTTAATATTTTCTGTTTAGATGGACCACAGTTTATCTGTTTGCCAGTTGCTGAATATGTGCTGCTTCCCATTTAGGGACAGCTGGAAATAAAGATGCTATAAACTTTTGAGTTCAACTTTTTTGTGTACTATATATTTTTTAAAGATTTTATGTACTTAGAGATTCATTTATTTGAGAGGGACAGAGGGAAGGGGAGAAGGAAAGCAGCAGATTCTTGGCTAAACACTGAGCCAGACACAGGGCTCAATCCAGGATCCTGAGATCATGACCTGAGCTGAAATCAAGAGTCAGAGGCTCACTGAGCCACCTAGGCACCCCAGTACTATTCTTTTAAAGAAAAATTTTATAAAACATTAACAACAAAAAAACCCACCCCAATAGACTGATGTTTTCCTGAAGAAAACTGCCATTGTATGGAGCCTTTATCAATTTGTGCATTTCTTAAAACCCAATGACCTATGTATGTTACTGTATTATTTCTCAGCATATCAAAATACAGAGTCTTCAGAGCACACAGTTATCTAGTTGATGTACCATTAGCTGTCCTCTGGTATTTGTTATTCCACTTTCCATAGTAATAGAATATTTCAATGAACATTTCCCTGTTACTCTTTCTGCTGTGTCTGGCCTCATGATCAGTTTTTTTTTTTCCCCATTAAATATTTTATTTATTTGTTCATGAAAGAGACACAGAGGCAAAGACACAGGCAGAGGGAGAAGCAGCCTCCCTGCAGGGAGCCTGATGTGGGACTCGATCCTGGAACTCCAGGATCACATCTTGAGCCCAAGGCAGACGAATGCTCAACTGACTGAGCCACCCAGGCGTTCCGTGATCAGTTTCTGAGCAATGAAATGGAAATAAAAATATCCTACGGCAGCTAATAAGAAACCTCTGTCAGAGAAATGTTCTCAGTGTCCTC